TCTTGGTTGGAAAGAGAGGTTTAAAGTTGCAATAGGGACAGCCAAGGCTTTGGCCTACCTTCACCATGAGTGCCTAGAATGGGTTATCCATTGCGATGTAAAGCCTGAAAATATACTTCTGGACGGTGACTTTGAACCAAAAGTTGCAGATTTTGGGCTGGCAAAGCTGTCTCAGAGAGGCGGTCGTGACTTGGAATTTTCTCGTATTCGAGGAACAAGAGGGTATATGGCTCCTGAGTGGGCTATGCACCTACCCATCACTGCAAAAGTGGATGTGTACAGCTATGGAATGGTGATTTTAGAGATGGTTAGGGGAATTAGACTTTCAAGTTGGGTGGTGGTGGATGGTAAGGTGGAAGCAGAGTTCACAAGGTTTGCGAGGATAGTGAATAGAAAAAATCAATGTGGAGAAGAGTCCTGGCTAGAGGAGATAGTGGATCCAAGATTGGGAGGGCAGTTTAGCAGGAACCAAGCAGCAACACTGGTTGAAATCGGTGTTTCCTGCATTGTGGAAGATAAAAACAAGCGACCAACAATGGCTTCGGTACTTCAAATTCTAGTAGAGTGTGAAGATGATGAATCAAAAGACTATACTTGATGCCGGATACAGACACGGACACAACAACTGATGAAGTTAACTTGGCCAAATTTTATCCTTTAGACTTTCAAATTTGTGCCTATGCTACTTTTGTTTTGTTTTTGTTTTTGTTTTTGTTTTTTTGTTATTGTTGTTGTGATAATATGATTTTTTTTTATTTTTTTTTTGTTATTATTATTGTTATTGTTGTTGTTGTTATGATCTTTTTATTTTTTATTTTTTGCATTTTTTAAGAATTGTTTGGCTAATAACTCATCAATTTAATAAAAAAAAAAAGAATAACAAACACAATAAGAAAATAATATTTTAATAAGATTAAGTTATAATAGAGAGTTTGATACTGGAGGTACTAAAAAGGTGACTAGCTAAAATAGCAAAATAAGTTTTTAAGTCTAATTTGACTAAAAATTTAAAGAGGCTGGTGTGGATGCTCTAAGAAAGACATTTGAATTTTTTTGTATTCAAAAAGTTATTACATCGTCTCTTGAAAAAATAGTTTTATTATCACATTTTGTTTATAAACGAATCTTAGACTTCGTTTGACAATTACATATTTTAGTTAAAAAGTTATTATACGGTGTCACATTACTCTTTATTTTTTTACATATTTTTTTATAAAACGTCAAAAAATTATTAAAATAATATTTTTCAAAACGGGCCTTTAATCATACATTATAAGCAAACTATCAATAATTCGTCTCGTGACTAAATAAAAGATTATCCGTAGAATACGTTATTGTTAAAAATAGACTAAATTGGATGTATTATGAAAGTTTCAAACTTGACCTGCACGTTGAATCGATGTTCAATTGTGGGTGTTTATCACCTTTCTGGTTTATGCATGTGATAGAAAATGCAATAACAAAAATATGAGTTTACTATTGATGTATTGTTCAAGTTGTTTGAAACATATTTGGTGTAAATGAAAATTAATGAAATTTTATAATGATTTTTTTATTTATTTCATATAGTATTAAAGTTTTCTACAAACATATAATTAGAAATGAGTGAGAAAAAAATAATAATAAACTATTTAACTAAAAAAATTTAGAAACCATCCAAGTATTTGTATATGTCTCTAATTAGTTTTTCTTTTCTTTTTTTAATAAAATATTTCATTTTTATAAAACTTCTAATAATATTCTCCTCAAGTTTTTCTATTTTCCCCTTTTTTTAATATTTTTTTGCTGCATTTTTTACTTTCATTTTTGTTTCGCTATCATTTCCTGCTTCTTTTTGCCTTATTAATTCCCACTTTCACTTCCTATTATGACAATTATAACTCCAACTATCATTATCTATACTATGTATGTGAAACTCCAAAATTTAAAACTTTTGTCACCTGAAAATTATGTAATTTAAAAGAAAAAAACTTACACCTGCACTGTTTAACTGCCCACATTTTATATCTACAACTTCTCTCATTTAACTGCTGTCCAATTAGATTTTTTTTTTTTTTAAAAAAAGAAAAAATACTTCATCCCTATACCTACATATATGTTCTGTTCCCTTACTTTCATTTTATTGTTTCACAGTACCACAAACCTTTTAAAAAATTTCTTTCCATCAAATCATTGACAAGTTTGCACATTTCTGTTGGCTTTTTCTTACTAAAGTTGCTCACTTCAATTTTCTTAATCAAACTATACTATTATTACCACCGGGGGTAGTGGCCCAATGGTGAAGGCATTACCTTTCCACAGTCATAAGTTAAGTTCGACTCCTGGGGGGCGCGAAATTCTTGGATTTTTCAGGGGGTCGCTTCTGCAACCTCGCGCTGTACTCCGGTCGTAGCTTGTCCGTGGCTGGGTCGGTTGATGAGCTCCACTGGTGCCTTGGTAGTAGGTCCCTTCCTATGGGTTGGGTTAACCCAGGCCGGCAACCGGCTATCCCAGGGCCTGGGCCTGCAGAGGTCGTGATACCCCCATAGAACCTCCTTTTTTTTGTGTTAAAAAAAAACAAAACAAAAAAAAACTATACTATTGTTAATTTTATTTTTAACCTTAACCATTTTGTTAATTTTGGAAGCGATTGTTCCTCAAATAAAAATATAAAAATAAGCAATATTAGATGTGTTTCTTTTCATACAATTTATTTTTATATTATTGGTATATAAAATATGGATTGAGTATTGTAAAGTTTTTTTTTTCTTTTTTCCAGTTCTTTCTAAGGGCTAGTTTGGCATGTTTGAAAAAAGTCAAAAAGTCACTATTCTATTTAAGTCACATCATCTTATTTAAATCACATCACATCACATCACTTCTCTAACACATCATTTCAAACCCAATTCAAACCTAATCCATATTTCATAAAAAGTCAAAAAGTGCACTTATTTAGATCATCTCAAATAATCCATCACATCATCTTATTTAAATCGCACCACCTCTCTAACACATTATTTCAAACCTAACCCAAACCCAAACCCAACGCATATTTTATAAAAAGTCAAAAAATATACATATTTAGATCATCCCAAACAATTCATAAATTTCTTTTTAACTAAAACTCTATTCTTCAATTTTTCTCAATTTTTTTTTTAATTTTATTACTTTATTATGATGTATCATAAAAATTCCAATCGACCAATTCAAATGGTATGTGATGACTTTTTACCACTTATTTTTAATTTAGAAATTAGAAACGCAATTGGCTTTTTACTGTACATGGTCTATCAGTATCTATTTATTTTTTTTAGTACAAATTCTATAATTATTTAGTCAAAAAAAATGATCTCTTTTTTTTTTGGTTTATATTTTGCATTTTATCAGAATATGCAAGTAAATTTGCTTACCATTACCACCCATTGAGTGACTATGATCTCCAGATAATTCGGTAGCGACAAAAATGCCCTACATTAAAATGACAAGATTCAAAAAGAATTTTGCTAAAAACAATTGTGTATTGGCAAGAAGACATAAAACCAAACAATGCGATGCCAAAGAAAAGAAAGGATAGAATGAACCCAAAAAAAGTGCACCATTAAATTGGACCACTGCAGCAAACAATACAATTTACATTAAATACAAAAATGTATGCATATATATATATATATATATCAAAACACTTTTTAAAATATTTCTCCATACATCATCTTAAAGTTTTTCATAACATAGACAATATTTAAAGGCATGTCTTCCCCTTAAAAAAATATGAATTACATAACATAAAAAATATAATTTACATAATATAGTTTTATTTTTTTTAATTTGCACACGTATTGCGTGTGTCACAGCCGCTAGTGTTCATAAAAGTAGAGTCTAGTGGGCTGCACCAAGTTATTTGGGCATGTAAGACCTATCACGGGTTTCATCTTAATAATATGTACTATTTATTTTTAAACTAAAACATATAAATTATCTAAAAAAATCAAAAAAAAAAAAATCAAGTTAATTCGATAACTGTAGTCAGGTTAGTTATAACATTTATTCAGCAAAAAAGAGAAAAAAATAAAAAGAATGACAAATATTAACAAAACCATCCATTTTTTTAGAGACAAATTCAATAAACTAACATGACTATAATTATAGGATTGGCCAAATTTTTTTCATGGATGACCTACACGTTATGATCTAAACAATGAACAGTTCAGATCATCCAGGTGAGACCTTTGGCGGATCCCATAAATCCACACAACATGGTCTGGACTAGAGACAAACTGGACAAAGTTAACAATAGACCTGTAACGCTCATGTTTCGGATCATACTATTTTTCTTAAGCAAAAAACAAAACCAAAATAAATTTAATTAATAAAAACTTAGTTGAGCAAAAGAAACGAAAAAAAAAAATTAATAATTCATTCATTTAAAAAAAAAAGAAATAATGAAGTTAATTAACACAAAACGATTAGTAAAGCAATTAGCTGATTGATTACCTAAGCCGTGAGCGGCAGGATTCGGACCTGCGCGGGCAGAGCCCACATGATTTCTAGTCAGGCCCGATAACCACTCCGGCACGCCCACTTGTAGGTTACTCATTGGTCAAAATAATTATAGAAACCTAAATGTAAATGCCATTCGACAAAGATTCCACGTTCTCCAAAGTACAATTTACGTTTTGATTAGTACCTCCGTCAAGAACTTAAAAATTTTCAGTACTTGAAACAAAGTCTCAATTTATGTCACTGAAAAATTCATAAATTTATTAAAAAAATGTTTCAAACCCCCTTCCCTTCCATTAGCCAATTTTTTTTTTTTTTTTTTTTTCGTTCTCTTCCAATCACCACCCACCACATGTGTGTGGAGGTGGTGAGAATGGTGATTGGAGGGGATCTCTATCAATGCTGAATTTATTATTTTGTACAGTACAGAGAGAGAGAGAGAGAGATTTCTTTGACAAGATTTGAGGTGCATGAGCAACAAAATAAGGAAGAAAAATTGGAACATCTTTTCTTAAGATCAGAAAAACACAAACAGAACTCCATTTTGATTTCGTGGTATAAAACATGGCAGGTTCTTTGTACAATGAGTCCGCAGATTTGGTTTGCCAAACAATCATAAAAGCATCAAAACCCAACAATAAAAGCATCAAAAGCACATAGAACCATATACAGGTGGTTTTCAAATCCTATTGAACAAAAACTTCGGTAGCAGACAAAGACAATTCATCCCTTGGGAGGAAGCAAGCAAAAACAAAAAGAATAGAAAAAGAGATATTATCACATTGACAAAGTGAAAGCCAAAAAACAAAAACATATGATTACACCACCAATTAGTTATTCTAAACTTCACTTCTGATTGGGGGTAAACGAGTTTCCTAATCTTTATATATAGTCGGAACCATCTCGGTAATGCTCAAGGTCTGGATGTGTTCCACGCCCCGGCCTCCGTGGGTCTCTGCGAAACATTATAAGAAAAATACATGTCAACCACCAACGTAGCAGTAGAAGAAAGCAAGCAAAATAATGTTCTCATAAGCTTAAAAGCACCAAAGCAACACTATGACGCAGATTTGTCAGCTATATACACACATGTTTAATCGAATGCATAAGCAGATCGAAAGAACTCCAAAACTGGGCAATGTGGTCTCCTGTTGAGATTTGACTGCCAGCTTTGTGTTCAGACCAAATAAGAAGTTTGGAAACCTAGCATTGTGCTGTTATTCTTCCCAACCAGACTGGCCGTCAACCTGAAGAACTGGTCAAACTGTCTCACCCTATTTCAACTAGTGGGGACAACCTAAGCCAAATTTAATGATTTAATTAAAAATGTTTGGGGAAAAAAAAAAAAAAGCAAACCACCATTGAAACCAACATGACCTAATTTGGTTCAACCACAATTGCAAAAGGATCAGCCACGTCAGACTAGATGACCCGAGGATTTGGCCTGGCTGGCCAAAACATAAAAATAAGCCCATATTATGGAGGGGATGGTCCTAAGTCAAATGACAACACTAGTTTTCCTGACTTTAGTGGAGTCCAGAACCCATTTGGAACCATATTACAATTTGCATTCAGATGGCTGGAAGGCATGAAGATAAGATCAAATGAGAGGTCATACAACCCACTTTATTTGATGATTTAGAAGATGCTCACTTGTGTCCAAATGCCAGATTTTTGGGAGAAGAAACAGAAAAGAGAGAAAAAACAGACGACCTGACCAGATCAAAGACCCCCTTGAAAAAAAAATGATGGCTCAACTCTATCTTCCACAGTTCCACAAATAGAAAAGAAATTATTTTTGGAAATCATATCAATAGGAAACCAGGAAAGTTCTGATCCCAATTCAAGAGGAAGCAATTTGAGAAAAGCCATTTAAAAAGAGTTGACAAAAATAAATTTGATGTTAGCCCAGCTTGTTCACTGAGCACCATAGCAATGATCTAATGTTGAACTGTGCCCTATTAGCTGCATTTAAGGGTTCAAAAAGCACCCCAGAAACTGATACTGCCACCGTCCCATTTTATTCATCTTATTTTTCATTTCTGTAAGTCCCATTTTATGTGTTTTAGTTTGAAAAGTTTAAAATTTGATCATCACTTCCCCATATTAGATATTACCCTTCTTTACATTTATGTTAAATACAATCATAATTCCCAAGAAATTTATACCAATTGTACAGAAAGGATACTTGTGTAAATTTACCATTCAAAGATGTTTTCTTAAACTTAACACAAAATATGAGACGGAAGGAATAATAATATATACTTATATTGAAACAACAGCCATTGAGCTTTGAATTTCCCCATTTAGTCTCGTAGTTCATACAATCATCAAGAAAATAAAAATCCATTTCATTTGCATCGAGATACCTGGCAAATCGATTAGGCTCAAATCCAGGAACGCCCGGCGGCCCATAAGGATCAAAACGAGCACCCAGTGGAACACCCCTGCTTCAATTAATAAATTCCAATTACAACCCAGCTCGAATGATAGTTATTCAAACTAAGAGAGAAAAGGGGAAGAGAGAAACACGGTCTGAATAACTCACGGTAGTCCACCAGGCAAAATGGGACCTATCCCTCTTCCCATCCCACCAAACATAGGATGGTCAGGTCCTGTCCCCACATAATGAACAGATATAAGCCTCAAAAGAGTTTAATGTATCCATTGATTAAAAAGTTGAAAAATAAGACCATTTGACAAACCTACAAACATGCCGCCGCCACCGATGCCAAAATCACCTCTGATAGACAGTTGAAACAAATAATAAAATTATCAATTCGGGAATTTCAAACTACTTACTAAAATGGAAAACTGACCAAGCAACTGCATCTAATACAATAAAAAGAAATACAACAATCAGGACCAGCAATACCTGGTTGGGTACATTCCAGCACCAGGCCCAGGAAAGAGATCACTGCCACCCACAGGATAAACTGGAGGATACACAATTCTGCACAGCAGACAACAAATAAGGAAATATGATTTGAGCCTCATATTTTGACAAGTCACCAGACCATATAGCATGTGTATAATATAAAGATAACACTAGTACAGCAGCAATGAGGTCTCGTGTATTGTTCACATGTGTGTCAACCACCAATGGCAGCAGAAGAAAGCAAGCAAAATTACTGTGGCCGATTGATCTTCCAATATGATAGTTTCAACAATTCTCAATATTGGTTGATGAAAGTTATAGGATTAGAAGACGGTTATAAGCCTTCGTACCGACATAATATCATAGAGTCATTCGGTCTACCATCAAATGAATTGTTCCCCATCAGGAGCTACTTGGTCTCCTGTTGAGATTGAATGCCAGTTTTGTGTTCAGAACTTCAGACTACATAAGAAGTTCCAACACCCTTTTGGAAACCTGATATTGTGCTGTTATTCCTTCTAACCAAATGGACATCAACCTGAAGAGTAGGTCAAACTGGCTCAATCTAATTCAACTAGTGGGGTCAATCTCTAAGCTAAATCGGATGATAAAAGTAAAAATGTTCAAGAAAGGAAATAGGAAGAGAAAAAAAAGAAAGAAAAGGAAAGCCACCATTGAACCTAATAAGACCTCATTTGTTTGACCACAATTGCAAAAAGATCAGCTCTGTCAAGCTAGATGGAGCAAGGGATTTGGCCAGAAAGGCCCAGACATAAAAATGCATCCTTATTGTGGAGGGGACCATCCTAAGTCAAGCGACAACACTAGTTTTCCTGATCCTAGAGGATATTAAAAATGACTTCAGCCTAGTCCAAAACTGTTAAAAATTGACGTATTATTGAATTGATATAATGTTATTGATATTTATTACAATGATTCATGATTCCTATATATAGAAGAGGGTGAGTGTGTAGTAGGTAAGGAGTAGGTGAAGTGGAGGTGGTAGTGGTGTAGTGGGTTAAAATTAGTGGAGTAGATGAGGTGGTAGTGGTGTAGTGGGTTAGGTTTAGTGGAGTAGGTTTAAGTGGGTGAAGTAGGTGATAGGTTTTAACAACTCCCCGCAAACTCAAGGGGGACAGGAACTAGCCAACTTGCGTTTGGAGAGAGTAACAAAACAAGAAAATAGACGAATACATAAAAGAAAAGAGGATAGGAGACACTGTATGGTCGTGTCAGACCGATGGTGAAGACACTGTATGGTGGTGTCATAACGTTGTAGAGGACACTGTATGGTGGTGTCTGACCGATGTAGAAGACAGTTCATGGGGTCATGTCGGACCGATGTAGAAGACAGTTTACGGGGTCATGTCGGACCGTTGTAACAGACACTGTTGTGACAGTTGTTGTGACAGTTTACGGAGTCTTACTGGACCCTTGTAGAAACTAACCGGAATCAATGTCGGGACAGTTTACAGAGTCTTGTCGGACCCATAAAAAATCGCATCCTCAAAAGGTGCGCTCAATTTTTCAAAAGGCGTGCCATCAAAAGGCGTGCCCAATCCATAAAAAGGCGTGCCAGATATGATGGCGAGGCACGTGAGCCCAATCCATAAAAAGACGTGCCATCAAAAGTTGCGCCCTCAAAAGGCGCGCCCACTTCATCAAAAGTCGTGCCCGACAGAAAGCGTCGAGCCATCAAAAGGTGAGCCGGAGAGGCGGCGAGGCACGTGAACGACAGAGTGGCGTGTCGGCCGCGTCGTCAGTGTCGATATAAACCAATGCGGATGCTGTGCTTGAGGCAGAAGCGAAGACAAAAAACCTGGGAAAAAACTTCTGAAAAACTCTTCATTTTCTGAGAGAGATATTCGTTTTTCTGAGAGATTGCCTCTAAGAGCTGCAAATCTTGAAACACTCCCCTTCTGAACATTATCAGTCTGAAATTGCTGTTTTGCTGAAACACTCAGCAACCCAAAAAACATGGCCTCTTCTTCCCGTTCAGCTACCCAGAATATGGCCTCTTCATCCCGTGGTCTACTCACTCTCTTTCCCGACCTCAACGACTCAACAAGAGAGATAACTGGTGCGGAGGCCCGTGAACCTCAACCCAACACCTCTGTGTTTGCTTCGTTGAACTTTCTGATGCGGTCGGTGGAGCAAAAAATGGCGGTGCAGTCGGATGTGGAGGCCAATCAGTATACTCTGAAGTCATGTGTGGAAACCATGACTGCCGTCACAAACTTGTCGCACCGGCTGCAGAGCAGGACAAATGAGGTGCAACAGTTAAACTCCCAGCTGGCTCTGCTCCAACGCATGTATAAGGATGCGCGAGCAGAGATAAAGTGTGCTAAAGACAGAAAACAAGGAGCTGAAGCGGAAGGCCACCGTGATGTTCCGATTTGGAGGTCCACCATATGCTGTAGTGGGTGCTGCAGTCTCTTGGAAATCCTCCAAGCAGACATGCATAGCAAGGTTGACAATAGAATCTAAGTTTATCGCATTAGATAAAATAGGAGAAGAAACAGAATGGCTTCGTAATTTCTTATTCCAATGTGGCCTAAACATGTGCCAGCTATTTGCATTCACTGTGATAGCGAAGCAGCAATAAAACGGGCACAGAATCATATGTATAATGGTAAGTCTCGACATATTCATCCAAAACATAATACCATTAGGCATTTGCTCTCACATAGAATAATTTCCATAGAATATGTAAAGTCAAAGGAGAATATTGCGGATCCATTGACTAAAGGGCTAGCCAGAGAGCAAGTGTACCATTTATCGAGGGGAATGAGATTA